ATCTTGATCATTACGTAGTATTGCTCTGCCACTAAATTGTACCATAGCCATTTCTGTGGTTAAGGAAAGCACACAAGCTTTGGATTTAATTCAAATATAGTACCTATTACAAAGAAAATCCACGTTACATTTATGTGTCAGCTCTATAGACTGTGTCCTCCTTGTCATACAAAGACCACAGAGTCAGGCCCATCTGGATCCAATCTTGGCTGTGTCATTTATTAGAGGCTTATTCTTAGGCAATATTTAAAAACTTCCCCAGCTTTGATTTCCTCTTGTATTAAGGTGGAGATAATATTAAGGACTTTGTATGACTGTTATACAGATTAAATAAATATATGTATATAAAAAGCACTTAGCCCAATCCCTGACATGTAGTAAATGCTCCATATATGTTAGTCACCCTATATCACCTTTTATTAAATTTATTTTGAATGGCCACATATGATTCCTGCTTATATAGAAAACCCTCTGATGCTCAAAGTGATTGCTGATGCTGAATCCTTCAATCATATACATTAACAATCAACTTAGCATCAGGGACCATAGCTTTGAATCCTTAAAACCTATGATAGTAGTAAAATCAAAAGCAGGTCTACCTCTTTGCCACTACAGAAGTCAATACTCAGGAGATAGGTGCTGATGTAAAGAAAAGTGGTTTATTTTCAGGTGTCAGCAATCTGGCAGATGGGGGACTCATGTGTCAAACCTCATCTCCCTGTGAAGATGAGGGACTCATATCTCAAAATCCATCTCCACATCTCAGTGGAGGTAGAGGTTTTTTATAATGAGGGAGAGGGGAACAGAAGAGACAGATCAGAGTGGGGGGGGTTGAAAAGTACTCTATGTGCAGATGAGCACAGTCTACTTTGATAAGGCAAGTGATGGTCCAGTGTGCATCACCCTGGTTTAATTGTCCTGGATTCACATTTTTTGTTTTTACATCATCCTGACTCCATGGTTGAATGTCAGAAAAGCTCCTAGAGCTGGGAGGCCTAAAGGTCAGAGTCTGTGTCTTTTGATGCTAGTTCCTAGAATTCTTACACAAAGATGATGTTTATCTATAAGCTACATATTAGCCAGAGTTAGCAGTTACAGAAATACTGTCAAAAAATGATAGGGTGGGTTATAATTCCCAACTGTTACAAATCTCCACTGTCAATTTTTCTATCCTATCCATTGAAGTTAGATGGTGGTAGCCAAAACACTTCAGAAAACTAGAAAAATTCAGGATCCAGTCTTGTTTATTAATGAAAAATAAAATGTTACAGACAATTAACTGAACTAGAGAATAATATTCACAATTGTGTATGATAGATTTTATTAAAAAGCAATTTTTCTCCTAAGATCACCCTCATTTATATCAAAGAACCTAATCAAAACCAATTCATTTACTGCATTAAGTACAGTTTCAATTCAGCCTGATTATTTGCATGATCACAACAGGAATTGATCATATAGGCTTTCTTAAATCTACTTGGCTGGACCATTACAAGGAATTTTCAGATTGAATTTTAATTAGCTCCACCTGGCAGAGAAGCCATGCCAAACAATTGCACCAGACTTTGCCTGCAATACCTGCAGGTACAAAGGAGTTCCTTAAGTTCTCAAGGTCCCCCAAATGTCTTGAGGTTATTTCTTGAGACCTCCCAGGAAGTCAACCTTCACTCCTAACCTGGAAAGGTTGCCATGAACCATGTAAATAGGCCAGGCACCAGGCCTTTTCTACAAGGGGCTTTTCTTGGCTTTCAAAGTAAATATTCATTTCTTAAAGCTTTCTTCTGACATCCAGAATTTAGGCATGTCTCTCCCAGACATGAAATTCCAGTCAAATTCTTGGCTAATAAATCCACAATTGAAAAGTGGAACAAATCACATTCCTATTGAATTTATGCAAACATATTGCCAAGAAAATAATATTACTCATTAAAAGTTTTCAAATTCTGGAGGGTTCAAGTAGGGAGAAAAGTATAAATGCTTCAATATTGCTATAATTTACCAAATTGCTCTATGAAAACAAACAAAATTTTTTAATCAGCAATATTTTTTAACAAAGTCACAAGAACAATAATTATCCTCAGCTCATTCAGTCCCAGAATCAATTCTTGTTTATCCCAATTATCCACCAGCATCGCTATGATCCTAGTCATTCCCCAGAGCCACATATGTTCTCATATATTTTAAAGGTATGATCTGAAAATTTATTCTCAGAAAGTCATATTCTAGAATAAGTTAGAAGATGTAATATTTTTACAAATGCATCAAAATGTAAAACAATGACCATCTCTAAACAACAAAAAAATATTTACAATGACATGGTTATAGATTAGATTACCATGCAATTGACAAAGGAATTTGACTTTTTTTGGTAAAAACATTTTAAGATAACAACCAGTATTATAGATGAAAGTGTATCAGAACAAGAAATCAATTAATTTGTTCCCCACTGTCAATTGTACCTGGGGTTTCTTTTGGGAAATAAACAATTGGTTTTGGGAAATCAAAGGGAGCTTTTGGCCTTTTCATTTGTCATTAAAATTATTACTCTGCTTTACTATCTATCTATGTATGTTTTCTTTTTCTTTCATATTATCTTCTCCCTATCTCTATCTCCCTTCTTGAGAATTCCTCCCCCAATGGTCTTCTTATCTGTAATCCCTTTCCTTTATTATTTTTTCTTCTGATTTTTACTGTCTGAGAGGGGAGTAAGGTCTTTCCACCTCTTTAAACCATCAATTTAAATCCTTTCTGACTAGAATCCTTATGATGTAACAACATAAAAACTTGCACATAAGAGATCTTATTCCATTTACCAGACCTTGCCAAAACAGTTAGGGACCGAGACTGAGTTGCTCCTTTTCAAAACATAAGCAAATACAAAATCCAAAGCAAAGACAAATTTCAAAAATGAGTGTTCTCAAACTAAATACTCTAAGAGGAGGGTCTGAGAATAGTCTTAGAATCTTATCTCACACCCACCAGTACCACAAATGACCTTAATGAAGTCCAAATGTAGGATGCCCAAATGGTGGAGACAGGATTTCTGGTGTGTACAAAATAGCAAAGATCACACCAAGCCCCATAAAGACAAGAAGGCAAACAAAGCAAAAAAGAATAATAAGAAGAAAAAGGTGAGGAAGAGGAGGAGAGGGAGGAGAGGGAAGGAGAAGAAAAGAAAGCAAATAAAGCAAGTGTAACCAAAACAAACAGTTGAAGCTCTCAAACAGAACCTGAAGTTCTCCCATGAAGGAAAAAGGAAACAAAACTAACAGACAATTAAGAAGCAGTATGTAACAAGAAAAGCAAACAATATCCAAAACAAAACCAAGAGTGCTCCAACCAAATCCAACACTGGGGGGCTGGAAATTTTTTTCTTGTCACTGAGCCATGCCTACTGCCCAGCAGTGCCTATTGATTCTTACAGAATCCCAAATGGTTCAAAGAAGTGGGGCAGTGGCACCAGGGACTTAACCAGACTGGGCTTATCAGCCCACCAACAAACCATTTCCTTTCACTAGCAAAGTATTTAAAGGCTGCTGGTGCCTTGAGTGGGAGAACAGGAAGAGTTCTTGATATAAAGAAATCTTGACAGCTGCTGGGAAATTCCTGCAACCCTTGCAAAGGAGTAAATCTGCTGCAAGTATCTGGAACCCCCCAGCCTGGGCCCTTCAGGCCTTACTAGGATTCACATAGTCCTGGCAGAATCACCAGAATAGTAACTGAAAGCAAGTCCAGCTGCCTGCTGCTATGAAAGCCAATACTCAAGAGGCAGGTGCTGATGTAAAGAAAAATGGTTTATTTTCAGGTGCTGGTAACCTAGAAGTTGGGACTCGTATCACAATGTCCATCTTCTGGGAAGATGGGGAACTCGTGTCTCAAAGCCCATCTCCACCTCTCAGTGGAAGTAGAGGTTTTTGGGGTTTTTTTTGTTTGGTTTTTTTTTTGGTTTTTTTTTTAAGGAAGGAGAAGGGAATAGAACTAAGAAATAAAGGGAGGGGGTTGAAAAGTTCTCTATGTGCAGACAAGCACAGTCCGTTTCAATAAGGCAAGTGATGATCTGGTGTATAGCATCCTTGTTTAGTCATCCTGAATTCACATATCTTGATTTTACATCATCCTGACTCCATGGTTGAAGGTCAGCAAATCTTCTGGAACTGGGGTGCCTAAAGGTCCAAGTCTGTATTTTTTGAAGCCAGTACCTAGGATTCGTATACAAAGATGATGTTTATCTATAAGTTACATTTTAGTCAGAGTCAGCACTTACAGAAACAATGTCAAAAGAATGGTGGGGTGGGTTATAATTCCCCACTCTTACAATTTTCCACTATTATAGGAGAATGCAACTTGTGTTCAAAAATGTGTTTGTGGTATTAAATCATCAGTATGATAGCATATGATTCATTATTACAACTGTACAAGGTATTAAAAATTCCCTATCGGAACTTAAAATTGAGATAATTTTAATGGGTCTCCAGTCCTGGCTATTGTGGCTTGGTGGATTGAGTGTCAGCCTATAAACCAGAAGGTTGCTGGTTTGATTTTCAGTCATGGGTACATGGCTGGGTTGCAGGCTAGGTCCCCATTTGGGGGAGTGTGAGAGGCAATCAATAAATGTATATCTCAGATGTTGATGTTTCTCTCCCTTTTTTTCTCCCTTCCTTCCTGTCTCTCTAAAAGTAAATAAATAAAATCTTAAAAAAGATAAACTTAAAAAATAAAAATATGGGTTTCTAAAATGTAGGCAGAAAGAGCAATTTACAATATATCTTGGGACTATGAAAGTTTATTCCAGGTAAATGGAATAGTATGATAAAAATCATAGAGATGGGAAAACACAGACAAGCAGTTCACTCAATTGGATTAGTATGTATGTAAAAGTAAAAATAAGCATTTCTTTTAAAGCTCCATAATTCGGGCTTTGCTCTAGGTGCTCCAGTCAGGAGAGACAGATGAGAACTGGGTGGGTAGCAAGTAGCCTGCAGCATTTGCTCATTGTCACAATGAGTTTGCCCCTCAATCCCAAACCTTTCTTCAATGGATTAACAGGAAAGCCAGTAATGGTGAAACTTAAGTGGAAAATGGAGTACAAAGGCTATCTGGTATGTGTAGATGGCTATATGAACATGCAGCTTGTAAACACAGAAGAATACATAGATGGAGCATTGTCTGGATACCTGCATGAAGTTTTAATAAGGTGTAATAATGTCCTTTATATCAGGGGTATTGAAGAAGGGGAAGAAGATGGGGAGATGAGAGAATAGCATCTTTTGTGAGGAATTTTTAAAATATTTGTTTCTAGGTAATAAAATGTGTGCTTGCTTTTCAAAACAATAGTAAAATAAAAAATAAGTAAAAATAAAAATAAGAGAAAAGATTGGAAATATTGGTTGAGAACCTTGATTGCTTCAATAGAGCAAACCACTGGCAATTTTGGAGCAAATGAGTAATTCAATTTCCTGAGATGCCACATATCATGGAGTCTATTCTGGCAATATATGTGTATCTGTATCTGTCTTAGTGATGGGGTAAGGGGTGGCAATCAAGTAGGCAGCTGTTTCCCTAATCTCTGAGTGCAATGGGACCAGAAGTGGCAAGGAATGGTAAGGAGAATTTTGGGGGTAGAAAATGAGAGGATATAGCTGTGGACTGAATTCCGGTAACAATCTCAAATAAAGAGGCCAAGAGAACTGTGAGGTCTCAACCCTGAGAAAAAGATACCATAATCAGAACTTAGAAGGTCATAAAGGGTAGCTTTTCTGGGGGAGGTGGGAAATTTCCTGATGGAAATGGTGAGTTTGTTTGACCTTTGCCTTCTTTTAATTTGTAATACTACAACCAAACCACTGTTTGAGGCTGGTTATCATAAAGCTGAAGGCTTGAAACTATGAGATAAATCTCTCCTCAATTTAGGTAACAAAGCACCTAACACTTTATGAGCCAATACATGGGCACGGAGCAAAGAAAAATGCTTCAGAAATCTCACCTGGAACTAGTGTGCATAGACTGCTCAGAATAGCTTCTGCTTTAGAGCTTATGAGTGTTCCATGGTCCATAAGATCTGTAACTCCATCTGTTTCATGGATGGGCTGGTTGAGAAAAGGAAAAGTGAGTTTAGGAAGCTACATAGTAGGTCAAAAGGTAGCGATATTCTCACTCATTTATTTATTCAGCATATATTAAGCACCAAGTATTGTTGTAGGCATAGGAGTTATATATAAGGCCTTCACTCATGTACTTTTTATTCTAATTATTCTATCAGAATTTTAAAAATATAATTCCAATAGTAAATACATAAGTGGATAAATAAGATAATTTTAGAGAGTGATACATTCTTCTTGAAGTGCCTCTTCATTCTTAGCAATGACCTAGAACTAATCTGTCCTGACAATACTCATACCTAACTCCTCGTCCTTCAGGTCTTACCCTGAGAGAAGATGTCTCTGCCCTCCCCTAAGCAAGGCCCCACAGCTGTTCATCATCCTAGTAATGATCACTCTCTGTAATGATTGACTACTTATTTTTTTTTCCTTGTATAATGTCTGTCTTACCCACCTGGATGGTATCCCCATGATAGCAAGAACCTAGTCTATTGTTCTTATGGGGTTCCCAGTGCCTTTTCTAGGGCTTGGCTCACAGTAGATTCTCAGTAAATATCTTTGGAATTAGGGTGACCAACCATCTCAATTTGTCAGGAACTGAGGGTTTGCCTAAGACATAGGGCTTTCAGTGCTAAAAGCAGCACAGTCCTGGACAAATTGGGATGGTTGGTCATCCTATATAGAATGAATATCATTTGGATAAGAAATTAGTCCCAGAAATAGACCTTTCATCATCACAGTTAAATCTCAAGTCTCCTTAGTCAAGCCCTGAGCAGAGGCATCACTGTGCCATGGTACACTTAGTTGTAGCCCCTGCCTCTAAGATCAGCCAAACCTTAGAGGAAAGTGAAAGCAGATCCATTGGGACACTTGCAAGCATCATAATCACTACTCTACTGTGGACATTGAACTCTAGAGCAAGAATATGCCAAGAGTCATAAAATCATTGGGGTTGGGTTATGTCTATCACTTCTGGGTTTCCCAAAGCCTCTCGGCTCCTTTTTAAGGTAGACAGACAGAACTGGACTAAAAACTGACAATTGAAATGGTCATAATATGAAGTAGCATTTGGCAGCTAGAAGACATCTCTGAAGTCACATAATCCAGTCCACCCCAAATTTTCCAGTTGAGAAAACTAAGAATTTGAGATGCTAACTTCTCCAATGGAGAGCCAAGTTTTATGGAATGCTCTTTAATTGTTCCTACACTGACCAGAGTCCCTTTGCAGTACTGGCTAGATGCCCCTTTTCTAGTCCCGCCCACTGTGTACTCTGAGCAGGCTGTCCTGTTGTGCATTTCCTCCTTCATTCTGTGTGCTCTGGAACAGGTTCTGCTACCTTTTTTGCAAATGACTTATTTCAATATACTGGACATTTTTCCCTAAAAGGACTCTTGTTTAACAGGTTTAGACATTCCTTCTTCTTTGAGATTTGGTGTAAAAAATAAGATTTTCACCACTATGTAGTTTGCTGATCTAGGGAAGGAGGGAGGGAGGGAGGGAGGGAGGGAAGAAAAGTGAAAAACCCTAAAAATTATAAAAATTTATGAAGCTTAATAGATACCTTGCTTGTTAGGTGAGATGTTCCTGGAGTTTGTCACTGTGATACACTTTAAAAGATTGCTTCATGGAAAGCACAGAACAAATTCACATTCATTTATATTTTGTTGTCTGTTCTGAATCAAAAAAATGATACATGTCTGCCATTAGCCTTAGGGCAAAAGCAGGAGTAGGGCTTACAAAAATTGCATCTATTTAGAGATATTTTCAAATCAGCATGTTCTAGCTTAACTGTTTTGGGGAAAATATGCAGCTTGTTGTTGGTGTTTTGGAATTTAGAAAGTTTGGGTTCATGACTGCCTTTTGTAACAGTTTGTGTTCAACTTTTAACTTAGGAAGCCAGGCATTTAAAAAACTTTTTATGAGTTCTTTATAAAAACTAGAACTAAAGATGAATGTGTTACTAGCTGGGCAACTTTATCCAGAGTGAGACATTTCATTTTATCCTTTGTTATGACTTTGGTCTCATGAAAGTTGTTAAATTCATTCCTCCATAGAAAAGGCCTTGATCTTTCTTAGGTGTCTTTCTTTACATACATTTTCTTAGGGGAAACTCTCTTTAAAATCACTGAGCAGTAGCCTGGGCCAGGAAGTTCCTCTTCTCCTCCAACTCTTTCCAAAATCTACCTGGACAAGCAAGAGCAGTGTCCTTCCACCCCACCTGCTTGTCCAAACACTTCTTGAAACACACACCTTGGCTCTCCCAACAGACCTGAAGTAAATGGTCTGTTCCACTAACAGGGACATTTTGTCTATATTTTCAACCCCCTTTTGCCTTTAGTCCTTGACCACTCTTCAGCAACAGCTAATTATGCACAATTATGTGAATAATTGTAGATTCTAAAATTATCACCAGTTAATTCCAGGCCTCAGAAACATTAATCATATGCTAGTGGAGTTGGTCTGTGGGAGATTTGACTTTAAAGCAGGCATCAGTTAAGAATCAAAAAACTATTTTGTGTGTTTATTCACAATACACATCTCTGTCTGAGAGGGGACACACACTATCACATCAAAAAGCAAGAGAGGAGCTAACTTTGATAAACTATGTGAGCTGCATAACATCCTTTAATAACCTTTTCACATAGTATTTTGTACTGTGGGACCAAGTAAAATTCTCTGTACTATTGACTGTTATATTGTATAAATGTGACTAATTAGTGAGCAGGAAATAGGTAAAATAATAAACATACTATTATATATTGCCTTAAAGTGTAAGCTTTATATATAGTTTAAGATTATGCAGTATGGAGATATCCAATTTTGATTATAAATTTTTTTGTTTTTTTAAGAAATGTATAACATATAAAAGTATAAATACCTGTATCCCACCATGCACAAATGACAATAATGAACATTTTGTCACATCCATTCTACGTCTTTCTTTATGAGGAAAATCGAAGACCACATATAACGCTGAAGTTCCCTCTGCCTTCTGCCCTCAATCTGACCTTTGCCCCTTCCCAGTGACACCCGTGCTCTTTAATTTACTAGGGAAATAGTTCAACTACCATGATCCACTCCATTTGCTTTTATATAGAAAATATATTTAGCTTTATGTGTTTCTGTAGCAATATCTAGCTAAATATACCACACAGAAATTCTGGCTTTACTGTGGAAATAATGATTCCTATGTGTCAAAATAAATGTTTGGACATTTCACAAAATTAACCTCCTTAGAATCATCTGGAAATGACAACAATGCTCTAATACTTCTAAAAATGATAGAGTCTTATGAAAATCAATGATTCTATTATATGAAAGAGAAAATACCTTAGAGATATGTTTGCATGATGGCAATAGTAAATGCTTACTGGATAAGCTTTTTCAGTCAATATAATTTCTTCAATATACTTTCTGAGGTGTTATTAATAGTGTAGACCATGTGACTTTAATGATAACACAAACAAGAGTTTCCTATTTTATCACCTTGAATATTAAATAAGTTAAATGGTATTAAGAATATTTAGAGAATTCTAATAAAAGGCTTTAGCAACATCTAGAGAATTCTTTATCATTTTATCAAGAAGTGTGTAATAGAGAATATTTGTTATCAATATTTGAAAACAAATTGTACTTCCATAATGTCCAAGTAGCTCCAGAGATTTCACTACTGTAGGAATAATTAGGAAGTAAAATTGTGTAGGGTTTGAAGTCTTGTGCTTATCACCCAGGCTCTGTGACTGGTGTAACTTTGCTATTATCTTGTTGGATGGCCTATGGCCTTGGAGAGAGATAATTTCATTTCCCTGGGATTCAGTTTCCTCATCTCAAATAAGTCCTTTAAAAAAAAAACTTCCTTGGTTGGTGGCATTGGGGCAGGGAAAGGTGAAAAGAGATTATCATTAATATTTCTCACAGCTCTAAAATTTTATTATACTATTATTCATTTTATCCCTTCTCCCTTCCCACTCAATATTCTAGTATATAGATTGGTAACTAATCAAAACTAAGGGGATCTTCTAGCAAAATAATCAGACTTAATACTAAAGGTTATAAGAATTTGAAACAAAAAAATCTTTTTAAAAAAATTCATTGTAGAATTAACTCATTCACAAGGAAACAGACAAAAACTGCTAGAAAAGGACACTAGAAATATAGAAATATATTTATTTACTATTAACTATAAAGGTTTTATAGGATGAAGAATATTTATCTAAATATACCATTTTAAATATAGTTGAATTTCTACTTAAAACAATGATATATGTATCCTATGAAAATGATGCATGTTTAAGGTT